TTTGTGTTTTAACAGATCATTGACCTAGAGGATTCCATAGTCCAGCTAAAAGAAGATCTAGTACATGAAAGAGAAGAGGCAGCGGTGGAAAAAGACAAACTAAGACAGTCTGTGGTATGTCAATAAAAATAGACACATTTTATCCCAYATACAGACAACTCTTGCTTTGTGGTCCGGGGGGGGGGGTACTCCCCTATATTCGCTATACAGGTACGTGCCGCCAAACAGGGTATGGTTTTCAGCGATTCTACTCTGGAACAGGGTATATAAGATTGCGGTCCCTCTGGAACAGGGTCTATGAAATCACACTCTCTCCTCTCTGGAACAGGGTATCTATTTTTGCAATACCGGAACAGGGTATGGTTTTCAGTGATCTTGCTCTGGAACAGGGTATGAATTTCAGTAATTTTACTCTGGAGCAGGGTCAGGGTTCAGAGGGCTCAGCGGCACATCCCTAAACAGGCAAGAGTACCCCCAGACTTTGTGCACACCCAGATACCTCACAATTGCAGACAGGAGCCCATTACTGCAGACAAATGATGGCCCCTAATGGGTTTTGCAATAATGAAAGGGCAACTGCATCACTTGTGGCACAATATGCTGATATTTATATTTTACAATATCTGTATGACATAATTAGTTCTAAGTAAATAAATTATCTGTTTTTAAGGCTGATACCCAGAAAAAAGTAGAGGAACAGAGAGAAACAAATGCTACAGTAAGAAAGTAAGTTATCCCTTTATTTTCCCATAAATAAACTTCATAGTTTGAATTGGGAGTAAGGATAAATTGGTGTTAATTGCTCGCATCTCACCTCTGAGGTTCGGGGGTCGTATCCCAGTCCCAGCCCATGTGAGCTGAGTCGGTTGGTTGGTTCTCTTTCTGACTCTGAGGGTTTTTCCAGCTTCCAGTTTTTCCTACCTCCTCTCAAATCAACCCTAACTAATTCAAATGGGTTAGAGCTGTGCTCCGGGGTCATACATGAACTGTATAGCGACTGCCAGAGGCATCTTCACGTGCTTTCCTTCCCCCTTCTTTGAACTGTGCCACTGCTGTACTTTGCAGTGGTGATTAGCGATGACAAGAAGTTTTTTCATAAAATATAATAGATGGTTGATGAATTGAATGAATGGTGTTTCAGGGAGATWGAGAAGCTACAAGAAGAGCTGGTTGATAGTGAATCTGCTTTAGATTCAMGGCGAAAAATGATCAGACAACTGGAGACTTCACGATCAAAATTGGAAGCAATAGAAGTTCAACTCAATCGTCAGCTACAGAAAGAGATACGTGACAATTCACAACTCACCCAAGAAGGGTAAGGCTAAGGCCTGGTTCTCACTAGTAATACAAGCCAACATTAGCAGACACAACTCCAAGCTAGTGCATGTTCTAGCTATGTGATGAAGGGATGCAAATACAAGTGCAAGAGAAAAGAAGATATTGTTTTTCTTACGTTGGCTTGTGCTCATGTTTATGCTTGCATTGGCTTGGGTTGCTAGTGAAGAGACTACTGTGGTTGTACTCTAAATATCATTATGACACAGGCTAACACATTTATAATAATTGTTTGATTGATCAACTTCAGGATGAAGATTGTTAAAGAACAAAATGACCTGGCAGAAAATCTGGGATCTCAAAAAGATGAGTTGACTGAAGAAGTGAATGAGGTATATNTGTACTCTAAATATCATTATGACACAGGCTAACACATTTATAATAATTGTTTGATTGATCAACTTCAGGATGAAGATTGTTAAAGAACAAAATGAACTGGCAGAAAATCTGGGATCTCAAAAAGATGAGTTGACTGAAGAAGTGAATGAGGTATATACATACTGTGTAATTTTTTCTTCCTCATCACCACCCATAATCATCATCACCATCATCATCATCACCACCACCCATCATCACCATCACCATCATCATCATCACCACCCATCATCATCATCACCATCCATCATCATCATCACCACCATCCATCATCATCATCACCATCCATCATCATCACCATCATCATCATCATCACCACCCATCATCACCACCACCCATCATCATCATCACCATCACCATCGTCATCATCACCACCACCCATTATCATCATCACCATCATCATCATCACCACCCATCATTATCATCATTATCATCATCATCATCACCACCCATCATCATCATCACCATCCATCATCATCATCATTATCACCATCATTACTATTATCAATATCATCACCATCATTGTCATCATCCTTGAAATCATCATCATTATTATCATCATCATCATCGTCATCATAATCAATGTCATCATCATTACTATCATCATCATTGTCATCATTATCATTGTCATCATTACTATTATCATCATCATCAACAACAGCATCACCACCACTACCACCACCATGTCATCATCAACATCAATAGTCTTTTTAGCTTGGGCACAATGTTCCACTTTAGACTACATATCATTCCCCTGAAACAAGTTAAATAAAGAGTTTTATTCTTAAGAGAATGACATGTGGTCTGGTCATGGGTTAACAAATAGCCGTTTGTTGTGTTGAAGATTTTTACCAAGGTTGATACCCTACAGCAAGAAGAGACCAGCTTGAATACTGAGAAAACTATGTTAACAGAAGGTGAGCCTTGCAAATAGTATTGCCCAACTGCATCTTACAGTGAGGACACTNAAGAAGAGACCAGCTTGAATACTGAGAAAACTATGTTAACAGAAGGTGAGCCTTGCAAATAGTATTGCCCAACTGCATCTTACAGTGAGGACACTCAAATTCTGAACACCTCGAGGTTTTTGCCACTTTTCTTTTTTTAAATTCATACGGGGGGGGGGGGGTACTCCCCTATATTCGCTAAACGGGTGCGTGCCGCCAAACAGGGTATGGTTTTCAGCGATTCTACTCTGGAACAGGGTATATAAAATCATGCTCGCTCTGGGACAAGGTATATGAAATCACGCTGTCTCCTCTCTGGACCAGGGTATCCATTTTCGCAATGCCGGAACAGGGTATGAGTTTCAGTGATTTTACTCTGGAACAGTGTCAGGGTTCAGAGGGCACAGCGGCACATCCCTACCCTAAACGGGCAAGAGTACCCCCCCGGGATTCATACTTGAAATCATGCCTTGAGCCAATTAACTGGAAAGAAGATTTATTTGGTGTATTTCAACTCAATGCTTTATTTCAGAGGGTTTTTAACAGTTTAAAGACCTGGAAAGAAATTGGAGTGTTCACGGTTCAAGTGTCCTCACTGTAACCTTGTCTCTTTTCTTTCATTTTATTTGCCATAATTTCTTGTCCATCCTTTTCGCTTGACCACCCCTTGACTGGTATTAGTAACGGTCATCTCTCAGTTATTGGATCAATAATGATAAAAAGTTAGTTTTACACCGTGAAAAGATGAAAACATTTACTGACGTTTCGGACGCTAGTCCTTCGTCGGTGTAAAAGAGAAAGAGGTGGTGGAAAGGAGTGTATATATGATAGAATAAGACAAAAGAAACCAATGAGAGCAAGGTAGACAAGGAAACAAAAACGAGCAATCAAAAGACAAAAGAATGGGTTAGTTGAAACCAAAGCGTTCATTAATCCCGTTGAGACTAAGAGTGCCCAATAGGTGAATAAGCCACATTTCTTTGGTCTTGCGACAATCATTGTTGCCGTTAATCAAAGAAAGACCGAAAACACTTTTGTCTTATTCTATCATATAAACACTCCTTTCTACCACCTCTTTCTCTTTTACTCCGACGAAGGACTAGCGTCCGAAACGTCAGTATGTGTATATTCACGGTGTATAATTACCTTTTTATCATGACTGTTTCATTAGAAACACCGACGCAGCTCACACTAGTTTTTAGCTTGTTATCTCTTCTCAGTTATTTGATGATCATTAATCCTTGGTCATTGTCTGTTTACCAGTTCTCCAAGATTCAACAAAGGAGAAAGATAAGCAATCTGAAGTAGCAAGAGAAGAAGAACGAAAGTAAGTAGAGCCGTTTTATTTTTATTTTTATTTTTTTGTTGCCATACTGTGTCTTACCTAAGTCCTCACTTTGTGTCATGATTGGATGACTTATTGAAACACGATGGAAAGCCATTTCAAAGTTACGGATGTTGTACCGTATTTTCCCATTCGTGAAACACGATGGAAAGCCATTCCAAAGTTACGGATGTTGTACTGTATTTTTCCCATTCATAACAAAACCGCTCTTTTATAGTTGTGGAGTTTGTTGTTGTGGTAATCATTGTCAGCAGCACTGCATTTTCATTATCATCATCATTATACCATTGCCATC